TAATCAGGCAAAACGGAATTCAAATGAGATAACTCGGTGGAAATGGTGACGGCGCTCTGACTTTGGTCTGTCTGTGTTTGGTTTGTAAAACTTGCAGCAGGTCTTTCGTTTTCCCTTCCATCTTGGACCCTTTGGTTTTGGATGAGAGTTTGTGAAGTTGAGGCGCGAGGTAGAACGAACCGTTGTACAGTTTTAGTTTCCTGCAGCTCCTCAAACTGCTCCTCACTTTCACTGTTTTGAGTCTGAGGTGGTTTCGTGTCCTCCTGTTCATCCCAGGCAGATAAATGAGGTAGGTGTGAGACATCAGCATCCTCAAACTCTTGGACCTGTTCGTCTTCTTCCTGTCGCTGACTGGGCCAGAGTTCATGATCTTCCTCTTTAATGTGTCGAGGCTCCGGGTCCCGCTGACAGACTCTGAGGCTCGGCTCCTGCTCACAGTGGAGTTGCTCGGGGGGAGTTTCCTCTTTACAGATGGACGACTGAGAGAAGTCTGGAGAAAAAAAAGGAGTAAATAGTTTAAAGCAGCTTTCCCATTCTTATTTCTTTATCAGTGATTAAGTTGTGGATCCTGCCAGATAGAAGTTGCTAATATCGACAATATCTCGATTAGGGCTGCAACGTTATGATTTCCCACAGCTGAATCTGACATGTTCAATGTGGTTTGATTAAAGTTCTTCAAAGGTGAGAAGAGTTAGAAGAATCCAACACTGTTACAAGAGTTTATTCATTCTTTGGTAAGAAAAAAAAAAAAAAAAAGAGGACATCATTGAGGACTTCAGAGACCCATCAGCACTAAAGACTGTTTACTGACTTGGCAGTATGTCTCAGGTAAAATTATGTGGTTTTTTTAATGTGTGATTTGCAGCCTAAAATGACAGCGTACAGGTGTTTAAGAAGTTGTATACCACAGTACCATTCATCAAATCACTCTGAAATGATCCCAACGATATCGTTTGCAGTTGCAGTCGTTATAGTCGTGGTGTGGACTCCATCCACTTGAGTCAGAACCATTTAAAAAAAGATATATTTATAATTATCGTTTTGGTGTGAACGAGCTGAAATCCAAAGATATTCAATTAACTATCATGTGTGACAAAGATGAGCATCAAATCCAAATGACAAACAATTATCTGATCTGATTATCAGTCGCTGATTCATTTTCTGTTGATAGACTAATTGATTTTGTTAAAGCTCTAATTACAATATTGATGAACTTGTGGTGATTTAATGGAGACAAATAGTCTATTCAGTGTTTAACTACATTAAAAAAATGATATAAAGTGAAGTAAAGTATGGAAATAAAACACAGAAATATATTTGAGGTAATTTTTCAATCACATTTTCAACTTTCCTGCTCACTAGTATTGCCCTTACATCAATCAGGGTCTTATGTTATCTGTCAAATTAATAAGAAAGGTTCATATTTTATGTTTCTTTCATTGGCGTAGTACAGACAACCAAATAATGAACCAGTAAAGTAAAATGTGGTTATTTTATTAATCAAGAAAACACTGCTGATTGATTCACAGCCACAAACACACACAACTCATCCCATCACATTAAATCATGAATAACAATTCAACAGCCTTTAGGTTGATTATTTGAGTCCAGGCTGACACTGACAGACTGTTTACTGTTTACTGTATATTAGTAAACAGACCTGTTCTCTGGTTGGTCACTAACTCCAGCAGCAGACCTCTGAGTCGTTCAATCTCCTGTTGGGAGCTGGACGCTTCCTCTTCATATTTGTTGATTGTTCTTTCAAAAACCTGAAATATTTCCTCGGCAGCAGCTGTCAGACGCTCGTTTACGAAAGCCCTGATAATCAGCCGAGCAGCCATTTTAAAATCACTGTTGTATGAGTGCGGACAACCCCAAGAGGAGGTTTTATATACGTATAGTCGTTTTCGTGTGGTGCTAATTTAGAAGCTACGGAAGTAACAATAAACAAAGCACAGAGCGAGAATGTTGGTGTCGACGCAGGTCGGAGCTCTGCTGCCTCCTGTCGGACAACACAGGGACCACAGCTAAATGCAGAAAGGTGTCATTATCAATGTTTTAACTGTGGTGGAAGTGGCTAAATACATATTAAAGGACTGTACTTGAGTAAGGGTACTTGTACTTTACTTTAGTATTTCCATTTTAATCAACTGCAACTTTTAATCAACTCCAAATGCAAATATTGTACTTTTTTACTCCATTACATTTGCCTGATAGCTTTAGTTAGACTACTAGTTACTTTTTCAGATTATTATAATCATTCACTTCCAAATTTTGTGATTTAGTTTTTTTCTTTTTTTTTTTCTGATAAACTGAAGCATTAAGTGTTCCTTTACTGGTCGATAAAGTGAGATTATTTTAAAAACCCTCTCTGTTTTTATAAAAAGTTGACTTTAGAGAGACGTGATTCTCACAGGACAGCAACACTACAAACACAGTCTTATAGAATATGATGCATTGCTATACTGTATATGAATTTGTTCAATTAATACAAATATTAGCGTAACTTTAAAAAACTACAGCAGTAAAATGCAACATCAAAGTCACAGCAGCACAAGAAAGACAGGAAATCAACAAAGAATTGTTTAACATGAAATTAATAAAATGAAACAAATTACATGAAATGAGAATTGTGCAAATATTTGTGAGCATTTGTGTCTGACAAAATAATAATAATAATAATAATAATAATAATAATAATAATTACAAGTTAGGAAGCCTTGAAGTGTGACTCACAAGCATAAGTAAATAACTTAAATAGATTTTTTTACTGGAGGAGAGAGGAAATCTTTTTAAAAGTTTCAGATATTTGCTGTAGTACATGGAGAGAACATTTTAAAAAAGAATATCTAGTATCTATAAAATATATCTAAAGGGGCACACAGATTTTACACATGAAGTTCAGTTTACTCGTCACCAGAAGTAATACTCAGCTTATCTAGATCATATTCTGATTATAGATAGACCCTGTTCAAATGCCTGCCTTACTGTGACCAACAGTGAGCAAACTGTGAGCAGGACAGGAAGACGGGACATTTATCTGAATTAATCTGTGCATTTAAATGTACACATGTAGTCACTATGTAGTTCAAACACAAACATGCTATTTCACAGGTTGTTAATATACCTGTAGTGTACCTGTTTTATACAATTTAAGAATCAAACAATAAGAAATGTGCCAGCTGCCTGATAAATAAACTGAGCAAATAAAACAAAGATGAAATGAAATTCCTACACCCCGGTTTCCTTTGACAGTTCTGTGAAAACCAGATGAGAAGTGAACAAACGCACCCAGTTCTGATGCAGCTTGCAGGTGCTGCAGCCTGTGGGTTGGGTGAATGCATGGACATAAACAGGTATGTATTCCAGCAGATACTGCTGGGAAATATGGTACGACCTTAACCTTGACTTACAGCACTCCTGCAGTCAGTGTGGACTGACAATGAACCATATTTGTTTGATTATTACGGTGAGTGCAAGAAAGCCTGTGTGAGTGACATCAGTTTGTTAATAAGCAGCCCTGTTTAAGAGAAGGAGCCTGAATCGTGACCTGTGCCCACCGCTCACAGTTCTCGCTCTTGTTCACCCACTTGACCATCTGTCCCACGCTGAGCTCAGAGGAGATGAAAGGACAGTCGTGATGTGAGCTGTACCTGGCAGCGTGCACCTCCATCTGCAGCAGGTACAAACAACAGCGACAAGTCTGCATGGAAGAAAAACGTTAATGGATCATCGGCCTTCTGTTGTTCTGTACAAACAAAATGTTCTGTGTTCAGTGTTTAAAAAAACATAAATAAATTCAGTGAGTTATGTTGTTTTATATTTCTTGATGTTTGATGCAAAGCCATTGTTAATGAAGGAGTGTGACCATGTTAAACTGGCTCTGTTTAACGTGCAGCACTGTGTGGACATGATGCTCTATAATGTGAGAAATGGGGCACTTGCATGCGTTTGTGATCACCACCAGAGGGAACTAAATAGTTAAAGATACAACGCATCTAATACAGTCAAATTTAGAGCCTTATTGTATCAAATGCTTCCTGCCCATTGAGAGAAAACAGAGCAGGTTTGTTGAGTTTCCACTTACCTTGACTAAAATGGGCATATATATCAATAGTTGATATATTAAAATTAATTAAAATGATTATATTTAAAGTTAACAGTCTCTCTCAGAACCCTGACAGACATTTTTAAGTAAAATGTATAGACAATAATATAAGATCTAGTCCCCCTAAAACACAAGATATAATCAACAAATATATGATGTGTTATAATAATAATATAATAAGATATAGATTAAGCTACCCAGCAGTATAAAGTAACTTTACCAGCTGCGACATGAAAGTGATGCTAATGTATTCATTATTATAAATCTAATAATATAATTGATATGTATTCTGAAATTAGCCATTTTAATAATCAAAATGAACACTTTTACTTTTGGTACTTTTAGTATAATTTGATGCTTATATATTTTTTTTAATATTGTAAAATGTTTAATGCAGGACTATTCAAACACTGTCGTATATGTCACATTTACTTAAATATCCTCTCCAGACATGCATCAACACACATACAAATAGTCTATTTAAGTATCATTTCCACATTAAATTCTACCTCATTAAAAATGACTATGAATCTATGAATATGCTAATTTAGTTAATTTGTAGTTTTCCTGTCTCCTACTACACTGTAAAGTCCATTTACAGTGTTTGTGCACTGGTTTCTTCAATCTTCTACATCACATTTGTATAAACTGTAAACTGGACCAGAGTAATGTGAGTGCATCAAGATGATTCACTTGCTATCGGATTCCAGAAACTCATTAAAGATGTGGTGCACAATAGTTTTATTTAACCCTAACTAAAGCTACTAGTGTCTCATCTGACTGAGATGTACAGGAGCAGCTGTGTCAGTCTTTGGAGTCTTTATTTATTGTTATTTTTTTAGGTTCACACTTGGGTAATTGCCCTTGTACGCATGTGCGAGAGGTGTGCGTTCCTGTCGTCCAAGCGTTGCCGTGGAGGGAGCTCCTTGACTCGGCTATCTTTGGTGCAGCAGCGCAGCGCGGTGCGACGGACGGGGCGCACATTGAGTCAGCCAGACACCCAGCAGCAATGTCGGACAGTGGGAGTCAGGAATCCGCCGCCGCGGCCCCGAACGGCAGCGACAGCCCGTCAAAGAGAGCACTAAGACCGGCCGTCGGCAACAGAGTCACCGTGGTGCTCGGAGCTCAATGGGGCGACGAGGGGAAAGGAAAAGTTGTGGATCTTCTGGCACAAGACGCCAACATGGTGTGCAGATGTCAGGTTAGTAAACCCACCACGCTGCATTCACTTGCCCCCCCCCCCCC